CTAACTTGATTGATACTATTTAAAACAATTTAAGGTAAGTTATTAGGGGGGTTGGGATGGCCTAGTGGTCTAGAGTTTCACGCTTCGACCTCTAGTTGGCCGGTCACCTCTGGCTTGCGGCTGTGGTTTCGATCCCAGGTGTGAGCGTATGTGGCTTGGAGATAGGGGCGCCTTCTCAACCTCGTGGGTTTACTCCGGGTACTCCGGTTTCCTCCCACAGCAAAGACCCCTGCGCGTGCGCTAAGATCATTAAAATGAACTTGTCTGCGATATCACCTTCGGTGGAAGCGGACGTTAAACGCTAAGAACAACAAGTTATTATAATATTTCTCAAAGTTTTAATTGTTGTAAAGACCAGGTTTTTGTTATAGCTAGCCAATTTAATGATTAGTTACGATTTATCACTAACAACATATGGATGGGAAGTTTGGCCTCAAGGTCAAAATCAAGGTCACGGCAATATTTACACCTAAAGGCCAATCCACTGATCAACACCAAATGGTATTTTATAGAAAATGGTGGCTTCGCGCAAAAATTAAAGTATACGAAAATTATATTAATTTTTATGAACTGCAGTGTTAGGCAGCTGGTGCAGTGTGTCGGTTTCCGTCTAAGTGTCTTGTTATTCGAGTCGGTTTCCGTCTTAGTGTCTTGTTATTCAAGTCTAATTAGTAAACAAAGCAAATGGCATCAAACGGATGAAGTTCTCTCTCGTTAGAAATTAAAAGGTCGGTAAAATAAAAAGTTATTTATCGATTCGGCTGAAATTTGGTGTGTGGTCATTGCTAGCCCCCCTTAACACCCTCTGAAAATTTCAAGTGCCTACGACCACGGGAACTGGTAGAGGTACGAAAGTGCAATAGCGCCCCAGTTGACATGTATTTTGATATTTGTGGACTACATAACTAGACTTTTTGTGTGGACGAGTTAACTGGCATTCATTTTGAATGATTACAGTTGTTTTCGGTAAATTTAAACTGTGGTACACTATATTGGTACTTGAAAAAAGGTGAATTTATTTCGTCTTTATTTTTTTTTTCAGAGGTTGTAAATTAATAATCCACCAGTGCGGTATGTGAAAGATGTGTCTAGACAAGATGGTAAATTGAAGTAAACTTATTCTGTCACCCTACATGTCTGTTATTCCATACATGGGCCGATGATCTGAAATCCGTTAGTTCAATGGTTCTTGAGGTTGAAAGTCAGATATAGAGATTACCCCTCAGTACTGCTGTCCAATAATCATACGTTCCCTACCTATTTCCCTGTAGTTTAAAGGCAGCTAATGGCCCGTAAATTTAAATCTTTCAACCTTTTATTCCGATGGTCCCAATATTGAATAATTTCTCAAAGTATCATAAAATCTGTCATTGAGTCGACTGGCGTGGTTTCGAATCCCCGGTTGTACGTGGCAAGGAGAAGGGTCGCCTGTCCAACCTCGTGGGTTTTCTGCAGGTCCTCCGGTTTCCTCCCACTGCTAAAGACCCCTTCGCGCAAGTGAATTATGTAAATATTTAAAAATTAAACCATATGTTAGTCCCGAAATGACCTAGTTTGTGTCGAGTGGACGTTAAACCCCATTTCTCTCTCTCTCCCTTGTTGCTGGAAAATAAAACATGACACATTCCTAACTCAACATTAACTTCTTAGGGCAAGTAGTTCAATGATTTCACTTGCCTGAAAATGAAACTGATTGCCCAAATGTACAAATTGCCTCAATTTTGCTTTGTGGGATAATTAAGTCATATAGGTGGAATTGTTTATGTAGTCTGATAAAAAAATCTCCAGTTAACTTTTAATGTCGCTCCCCAGTCCTTTTTATGTGGACGTATATTGTCGTCGCCCCTGTCCGTCCGTCCGTCCGTCCACAATTGCTTGTGAACACTTTACAGGTCACAATTCTTATCCAATTTCAACGAAACTTGAAATATAGGTTTATCTCCCCAAGATCTCGGTTCCTTTCGATATTAAAATTAGCATGTATCAGACCGTAACTTCGTAGATTATGGCCCATGATTGTACGTAAAATCGCGTTTTTAGGTCACAATTTTTATCCGATGTGGTTTAAACTTTAAATGTATGTTTATAACCCACAGATCTCGGTTCCTTTCGATATTCGCGCATATCGGACCATAACTTCCTGAATTATGGTCCCTGATTGTACGAAAAATCACGTGTTTAGCTTGTGGACCCCATAGAGGACACAATTTTTATCAGATTTAAAAAAAATGTGTGAATATATCACCGTTACACCCTAAGGATGGTTGAGTTCGAATTTTGTAAAAATCGGACTGAAACTGACGGACAAAATGGCCGCCCCTCGTTCGCAAATACATGTAATGTCAAAATATTGCGAATCAGGGTTGTGGACTGGAGGTCACAATTTTCATCTGATTTTGATAAAATTTGAAATGCATGTTTATAACCCACAGATCTCAGTTCCTTTCGATATTCGCGCATATCAAACCATAACTTCCTGAATTATGGCCGAAAAATCACGTTTATAGCTTGTGGTCCCCCTAGAGGTCACAATTATTATCCGATTTAAAAAAACGTTTGAATATATCACCGTTATACTGTAAGGATGGTTGAGTTTGAATTTCGTAAAAATCTAACCAAAACTGACAGACAAAATGGCCACGCCTCATTGTCAAATGGCGTAAAAATATGGTATATTAATGTTGTGGACCCTGTAGAGACTTGAAATGCATATTTACAACGCAAAGATCTTTCGATATTCGTGCATATTGGATCATAACTTCCTGAATTATGGCCCTTGATTATATGAAAAGTCGCGTTTTTAGGATGTGATCCCTCAAGATGTCACAATTTTTATCCGATTTAAAAAAACGTTTGAATATATCACTGTTACACCCTTATGATGGTTGAGTACGAAGTTTCGTACAAATTGGACCAAAACTGCCGGACAAAATGGCTGCTCCTCGTACGCAAATATTGTAAATATATGGTATATCAAGGTTTTGGACACTCTGGAGAGAGGACACAAATTTGATCAGATTTTGATGAAACTTGAAATACATGTTTATAACCCAAAGATCTTGGTTCCTTTCAATATTCATGCATATCGGATCGTAACTTCCTGAATTATGGCCCTTGATTGTACGAAAAATCACTTTTTTTGAGCTTGTTCTCTGTCCATCTCTTGCAAAATGTGGGCAAATCATGCATGGCAACCGCTTGTTAACAAATGTATGGGGATAGTTCATAAATTGCTGCAATTAAATTGTATCTTTTTCTCAAGGTCATGTTACAGAAAACTAAACTCAAACTTTTCAAAGTCATTTTTTGGACATTTGACCTTGACTTACGACCTTGACCCCGTAACCATTTTCGAAGGCTATCACCTTGGCTTGAATCATGGGCGTTTACCTTGGTCCTGTCGCACACTGCTCGGTCAGAAAACGGTCAAACGCAGAGGGGCCCGTGCCCGAAAGGAAGTCAATGGGCGTGGTCAATGTGAAAGTTCGTGGTGACCTCCACTAGTCACCTTTAACCATCCGTGACCTCGACTTCGACCTTGAGTCCGAACTTCCCATCCATCTCGGGCCCTTTGCGTTTATGCGTGCTGTGACCTTATTTCTTACTGTATTATCAAGGTCAAGCATTAACTTTGATAATACAGTTAGAAATAGGGTCACGGCAAGCATAAACGAAAAGGGCCCGAGATGAATAGGAAGTTTGGACTCAAGGTCAAAGTCAAGGTCACGGATGGTTAAAGGTGACTAGTGGAGGTCACCACGACCTTACACATTGACCACGCCCATTGACTTCTTTCGGACACGGGCCCTTTGCGTTTGACCCTTTTCTGACCGAACAGTGTGCGACAGGACCAAAGTAAACGTCGATGGTTCAAGCCAAGGTGATAGCCTTCGAAAATGGTTACGAGGTCAAGGTCGTAAGTCAAGGTCAAATGTCCCAAAACTGACTTTGAAAAGTCCGAGTTTAGTTTTCTGTAAGATGACCTTGACCTACGACTTTGACCCAATTATCTTTTCTGGAGGACGTCGTCTCTGCTTTCACCTCGAACATTAACTTTGATAATACAGTTAGAAATAAGGCCACGGCAAGTATAAACGCAAAGGGCCCGAGATGGATGGGACGTTTGGACTCAAGGTCAGAGTCAAGGTTACGGATGGTTAACGGTGACTAGTGGAGGTCACTACGACCTTTCACATTGACCACGCCCATTGACTTCCTTTCGGACACGGACCCTCTGCGTTTGACCGTTTTCTGACCGAGCAGTGTGCGATAGGACCAAGGTAAACGTTCATGATTCAAGCCAATGTGATAGCCTTTGAAAATGGTTACGGGGTCAAGGTCGTAAGTCAAGGTCAAATGTCCCAAAAATGACTTTGAAAAGTTTGAGTTTAGTTTTCTGTAACATGACCTTTACCTACGACTTTAACCCAATTATCTTTTCTGAAGGACGTCATCTCTGCTTTCACCTCGAACATTAACTTTGATAATACAGTAAGAAATAAGGCCACGGCAAGCATAAACGCAAAGGCCCCGATATGGATGGGAAGTTTGGCCTCAAGGTCAAAATCAAGGTCACGGCAATATTTACACCTAAAGGCCAATCCACTGATCAACACCAAATGGTATTTTATAGAAAATGGTGGCTTCGCGCAAAGTATACGAAAATTATATTAATTTTTATGAACTGCAGTGTTAGGCAGCTGGTGCAGTGTGTCGGTTTCCGTCTAAGTGTCTTGTTATTCGAGTCGGTTTCCGTCTTAGTGTCTTGTTATTCAAGTCTAATTAGTAAACAAAGCAAATGGCATCAAACGGATGAAGTTCTCTCTCGTTAGAAATTAAAAGGTCGGTAAAATAAAAAGTTATTTATCGATTCGGCTGAAATTTGGTGTGTGGTCATTGCTAGCCCCCCTTAACACCCTCTGAAAATTTCAAGTGCCTACGACCACGGGAACTGGTAGAGGTACGAAAGTGCAATAGCGCCCCAGTGGACATGTATTTTGATATTTGTGGACTACATAACTAGACTTTTTGTGTGGACGAGTTAACTGGCATTCATTTTGAATGATTACAGTTGTTTTCGGTAAATTTAAACTGTGGTACACTATATTGGTACTTGAAAAAAGGTGAATTTATTTCGTCTTTATTTTTTTTTTCAGAGGTTGTAAATTAATAATCCACCAGTGCGGTATGTGAAAAATGTGTCTAGACAAGATGGTAAATTGAAGTAAACTTATTCTGTCACCCTACATGTCTGTTATTCCATACATGGGCCGATGATCTGAAATCCGTTAGTTCAATGGTTCTTGAGGTTGAAAGTCAGATATAGAGATTACCCCTCAGTACTGCTGTCCAATAATCATACGTTCCCTACCTATTTCCCTGTAGTTTAAAGGCAGCTAATGGCCCGTAAATTTAAATCTTTCAACCTTTTATTCCGATGGTCCCAATATTGAATAATTTCTCAAAGTATCATAAAATCTGTCATTGAGTCGACTGGCGTGGTTTCGAATCCCCGGTTGTACGTGGCAAGGAGTAGGGTCGCCTGTCCAACCTCGTGGGTTTTCTGCAGGTCCTCCGGTTTCCTCCCACTGCTAAAGACCCCTTCGCGCAAGTGAATTATGTAAATATTTAAAAATTAAACCATATGTTAGTCCCGAAATGACCTAGTTTGTGTCGAGTGGACGTTAAACCCCATTTCTCTCTCTCTCCCTTGTTGCTGGAAAATAAAACATGACACATTCCTAACTCAACATTAACTTCTTAGGGCAAGTAGTTCAATGATTTCACTTGCCTGAAAATGAAACTGATTGCCCAAATGTACAAATTGCCTCAATTTTGCTTTGTGGGATAATTAAGTCATATAGGTGGAATTGTTTATGTAGTCTGATAAAAAAATCTCCAGTTAACTTTTAATGTCGCTTCCCAGTCCTTTTTATGTGGACGTATATTGTCGTCGCCCCTGTCCGTCCGTCCATCCGTCCACAATTGCTTGTGAACACTTTACAGGTCACAATTCTTATCCAATTTCAACGAAACTTGAAATATAGGTTTATCTCCCCAAGATCTCGGTTCCTTTCGATATTAAAATTAGCATGTATCAGACCGTAACTTCGTGGATTATGGCCCATGATTGTACGTAAAATCGCGTTTTTAGGTCACAATTTTTATCCGATGTGGTTTAAACTTTAAATGTATGTTTATAACCCACAGATCTCGGTTCCTTTCGATATTCGCGCATATCGGACCATAACTTCCTGAATTATGGTCCCTGATTGTACGAAAAATCACGTGTTTAGCTTGTGGACCCCATAGAGGACACAATTTTTATCAGATTTAAAAAAAATGTGTGAATATATCACCGTTACACCCTAAGGATGGTTGAGTTCGAATTTTGTAAAAATCGGACTGAAACTGACGGACAAAATGGCCGCCCCTCGTTCGCAAATACATGTAATGTCAAAATATTGCGAATCAGGGTTGTGGACTGGAGGTCACAATTTTCATCTGATTTTGATAAAATTTGAAATGCATGTTTATAACCCACAGATCTCAGTTCCTTTCGATATTCGCGCATATCAAACCATAACTTCCTGAATTATGGCCGAAAAATCACGTTTATAGCTTGTGGTCCCCCTAGAGGTCACAATTATTATCCGATTTAAAAAAACGTTTGAATATATCACCGTTATACTGTAAGGATGGTTGAGTTTGAATTTCGTAAAAATCTAACCAAAACTGACAGACAAAATGGCCACGCCTCATTGTCAAATGGCGTAAAAATATGGTATATTAATGTTGTGGACCCTGTAGAGACTTGAAATGCATATTTACAACGCAAAGATCTTTCGATATTCGTGCATATTGGATCATAACTTCCTGAATTATGGCCCTTGATTATATGAAAAGTCGCGTTTTTAGGATGTGATCCCTCAAGATGTCACAATTTTTATCCGATTTAAAAAAACGTTTGAATATATCACTGTTACACCCTTATGATGGTTGAGTACGAAGTTTCGTACAAATTGGACCAAAACTGCCGGACAAAATGGCTGCTCCTCGTACGCAAATATTGTAAATATATGGTATATCAAGGTTTTGGACACTCTGGAGAGAGGACACAAATTTGATCAGATTTTGATGAAACTTGAAATACATGTTTATAACCCAAAGATCTTGGTTCCTTTCAATATTCATGCATATCGGATCGTAACTTCCTGAATTATGGCCCTTGATTGTACGAAAAATCACTTTTTTTGAGCTTGTTCTCTGTCCATCTCTTGCAAAATGTGGGCAAATCATGCATGGCAACCGCTTGTTAAAAAATGTATGGGGATTGTTCATAAATTGCTGCAATTAAATTGTATCTTTTTCTCACTATACATGTAACTCATACCCTCGTATGTAGAACGGAGGGGCTGACAAGGAAAGCTGTCTAGTCGCTCGGATGGGACGAAAAACCGAGGTCCAGTGTAAACATTGGCGTGCACGTAAAAGATCCCTTGGCAGTTGGAATTCGATATAAGAGTAGGCCGTAGTGCCGCTGTCCGGGCAAAATTTCCCTCATAGCACACTGTATGGCGTATGCCCGCCTTCATTAGCCCAGGTTAGGAGCAGAACAGTAGGACGTTAACCTCCATTTCATTTCATTTCATTTCATACCCTCATCTTTGAGAAGAATCATCCCATCTGATCTAAAAAGATAATTTTATGTTTTCAGATGGTGAGCTTGTGACCCGGATGGATGAATGATGGAAAGACAAATAATAAGTGCTGTATACAGTATTTGGTATAAATCAGTCATTGAAAGTCATTACAGCTGAAGATTTTAATGACGCTTTGTACCGGTACTAACAATGTTGATTACAGTCAATGGAAGGTAATCCTTTGTATGCATTTACATTTCAATACAGTCATATATTTCCGTCATCCACTCCTGTGGTCTGTCATCCATATTTGTCTTAGCACAATACAGGCCTTAGTCTTAGTTAATCCCCTTTCCTTCATGGATTATAGCACCTGATTGTATTGAAAAAATCACATTTTGAGCTTGTGAAACCTCCAGGAATCACAGTTTTTATCTGATTTTAAAAAAAAAAGGTTCAACTTTATCACCGTTACATCTTAATAATAGTTGAGCTCAAATTCCTTGAAAATCAGACTGAAATTGCCCAACAAAATAGCCAAGGTTTTGGACCCATCTAGAGGTCGCAATTTTGAACTTGAAATGTATTTATATAACCCAAAGATCCCAGATCCTTTCAATATTCGCGCATATTGGGTCGTAACTCCCTGGATCTCATTTCCTTTCAATATTCATGCATATCAGACCATAACTTATAGATTATGGCCCCTGATCGTATGAAAAATTGCATTTTTAGCTTGTGGACCCTTTTGAGTGACAATTTTTATGATAAAACTTGAAATGTATGTTTATATCCCAAAGATCTCAGTTCATTAGAATATTCAGGCATATCGGACCAAAACTTATGGATTATGGCGACTGATTGTACAAATCACATTATAGAGATCACAATTGTTATCCAATTTTGATGAAACTTAAATCGCTTTTTGGGCTTGTTCTCTGTCCACCTCTTACAAAATGTGGGTGTATCTTGCATGGCATCTGCTTGTTTTCACTGTGTCTCTTAGTGTTTCCATGGGAATCTGGAGGGTTGGATGGCCATGGATTATGGCGACTGATTGTACAAATCACATTATAGAGATCACAATTGTTATCCAATTTTGATGAAACTTAAATCGCTTTTTGGGCTTGTTCTCTGTCCACCTCTTACAAAATGTGGGTGTATCTTGCATGGCATCTGCTTGTTTTCACTGTGTCTCTTAGTGTTTCCATGGGAATCTGGGGGGTTGGATGGCAGACTGGTTAGCTCATGTCTGTCATTGAGTTAACTGGCATGGTTTCGATTCCTCAGTTGTATGTGATGAGGAGTAGGGTCAACTGTCCAATCTCATGGGTTTTCTCCAGTTTCGAATTATTGAAATAAAATGGAACCATATATTAGTCCCGAAATGACCTAGTTTATATCGAGTGGACGTTAAACCTCATTTCTCTCTCTCTCCGCAGGAATTTAGTATTTTCTAGTAAGATTGGGTGTCTCTACTTTCCATATCCAAACTTACCATATTTTATTCGAAATAATCTCCCTATAATTACTTTTTTCGGAATGCATCTTTAACTGAACATTTTTTTTTGTTTTAATTTCAGGTTAATCAAACCTATGAATGTGGTCGAATAAGGTGTGGAGTTGATTAATAGCAACATTGAATGTGGGTTGAATATGGTGTGTTAAAGATGCAAGAAAACACACGAAATGTGTAAACTGTAATGGATTATAGCCTGGCGCTATCCAAATTACAAAACACCTGCCCTTGAGTCTATGAATATTTATTTTTTATGGCACCCACATATTCATGTCACTGCCTCTGTCCGTCCAGATGTACCTCCGGTGAAATTTGTTTGTGGTCACAATTATCCGATTTTAATGAAATTTAAATGTATTTATATTCAAATCATCTGGGATCGGATTCATTTTGAACTCTAACCTCATGGATTATGGCCCCTTATATTGTGGAAAAATTGGGTTTTTAGCATGTGGGCCCATCCAGAGGATTTTGGCATAGAATATTACACCTGATTGTACGATCCATTGTTTTTAACTTCTGGATCTCTAGAATTCTCAGTTTTATATGCCAACATTTCCCATGCCCGAATTAACCCCTCTTTGCTGAAGATTTGGCTTTCGAGTTCAGAGTTATGCCCCATAGCCAAAAACTTTGAATTTGATAGGAGTTACAGTTTTTAACCGATCCTTTTCAGATTTGGTGTGAAGCATTGGATTCATGAGATCACAAACCCCAACGATATGCAGCGATTCGAAGATAACCTTTTCAAAAAAGCTTGTGAATGTGATGAGGCTACAATGTTTTAATTTGCCGTGTAGCATTGGGACCATGAGAGGACAAATCCAATAAATTTCAGCAATCCACACTTAACCCACTTTTTTGGAAATCATGTGAACGTGATAAGGCTAGAATTTTTTTAACAGATTTTTTTCTAATTCTATATGAAACATTGGGACAATGGGTGATTAGCCTTATTTATATTCCTTATTCTCTTTTGCAATATGTGGGTGTATCTTAGATGGCAACCACTTGTTAATTGTATCAATTGTGTTGTAATATTTTGAAAACAATAATTAATAATAAATATCAAAGTGGTGTTTTGTTTCATATTTGCGGTTTTTCAGCACAACTAGGATTATTCAGTGTGCTATGAGGGAAATTTAGCCCAGATGTGGCTTTTCTGAATTGTCCTCTTTTAATTACACAGGTTTCTTCTTTTTACATGGACGACAATTTCTACATGGAACTTTGGCTTTTCAGCCCCATCACTATCACAACCAAACACCATCCTTTGCCAGGCCCTAGATCTACTGATCAGGCGAACGGTGCAGAAAATCCTGGGAGGGTGGAGTAACTTTCATGACTGACACTGGGATCAAATACAGTCCCCCCCCCCCCACCTGGTTTGTGAGCTAGGCCTCACACTGTTGAAGTCTGCAACCTTACTGTGTAGAAGTGATAATAACAACCAATAAGCACTGGGTTAAAGTGAGAAAAACACCCGATAAGCACTGGGTTGAAGTGAGAAAAACACCCGATAAGCACCGGTTTGAAGTGAGAAAAACACTCCATAAGCACTGGGTTGAAGTGAGAAAAACACCTGATAAGCACTGGGTTGAAGTGAGAAAAACACCCGATAAGCACCGGTTTGAAGTGAGAAAAACACTCCATAAGCCCTGGGTTGAAGTGAGAAAAACACCTGATAACCACTGGGTTGAAGTGAGAAAAGCACCGGTTTGAAGTGAGCAAAACACTCGATAAGCACTTGAGTTGAAGTGAATAAAACACTCAATAAGCGCTGGATTGAAGTGAGCAATACACTCGATAAGCACTGAGTTGAAGTGAGAAAAACACCAGATAAGCACTGAGTTGAAGTGAGAATAACACCCGATAAGCACTTGGTTGAAGTGAACACTTCGTTGAAGCCTAATTTGCATATTTGGCATGGCTTCTTCCTCACTTCAACATCATTTCTGCCTTCTTTATTTCATTGAAAATTTGAAGTGTTGTTACGGAAGTGTGGTAGAAATGAACACTTCAGATATCAAATTTTTCACTTCGAGCACGTCTCGGTTTAGTGTCACCTACACTTCATATGGGTGGCGTCATCACTTCATTTGCGTGAGGGTTGTCGCGTTTCAAGCTATAACTGGCCAGCTACCTCGAGATTGTAGTTCTGGGTTTGGTCCCTACAGGGTGTGAGCGTATGTGACTTGCCGTAGGAATCAAAATGCCAGATAAAATTAGAAACTCGGGCAAAATATTTTTGGCGGATTAGTCGCCCTCTACGAAAAACTACACTCTTTTGATAGAAAATGCTAAATAGTATTTTGTATGGAAGCCTATAACTACCATTCATAATGTCTACTTTTCGCCCCTTCAAAACACGAAAGTCGAAGAGTAGAAGTTACGACAAAATGTGGGGCGACAGCACGCTATACAAGCCAAAATCGACTCGAAAATAGGAAATTAAGAAATAATACACTGCGATAATAGCGCCCTTCGTTTTTTCCTAATTTCTTATTTTCGACTTGCATTTTGGCTTATGTGCCGTCTTGTCGACTTTCCACTTAGTCATATTTTTGTATTTATTGATGTCAGTAAGAAGGCGCCAACACGCATACCAAGCCATTTTGGCTTGCTGTCGAACTGGCCACTTTTCGAGTTTCGCCTCGGAAGTGGTTGTAGTTTTAAAATAGGCCTACATAATAAATTAAATTGTTGTAGCCTAAGGTGTGTTTTTTTATCAGACACTTTTGGCAGATAAAATATTTGACTTTGTGGAAAAAAAAATATGAATAATTCCTTTATATAAAAATTATTATCCATTTTGACGGGAAAAAATGAAAGACAGTGTGAGCCCTGATTGCACGTATTCAAATGCGACATGGTAAATTGAGACTACTACAACTACAATGCAAGTCAAAAATAAGAAATTAGGAAAAAACGAGGGACGCTATTATCGCTGTGTGTATAATATAGTGATTGTTATCGATAAAACTGTGTTGTGTTATACATGTATTGTTGAAATCAACTTACCCTTCATACATTACTGTATACCTTGTACACCAGCGAGTTTATTTTTGTTTATGACACGTTTCGGATCAAAGGAGCTACCCCAGATATCACGTGGCAGTGGCAAGATAACTAAAAACCATTTGATTTACTCACAGTCTTCAAAGGAAATAAATCGCTTAAATGTTTTCGTAGTTTTATGGTATTTTGAATAACAAACCACTGACAATTGTCACTTACAAACATATGATATTTGTGGGTGTGTTTCGGAATTTATAAAACGTGATTAATATTTTTAAAAGATGAATAAAAGAAGCTGTCAAATGTTAAAAGTATTTAACAAGTTTGAAACTAATCCACCAAATACCCAATGTTCCGATGTCTAGACTTGAATGTCAGCCCCATAGACCCTTTCAATGATACTTTGAAAATGCCAAGGTGTCACATTCCTTATTGGATAATGGCTATCTATCTCACTTAATTAAAATGATCTTTCTCAAGATAAAATACCTTTTGGCTCTAAAACTTCTCTGGTTTATGTTATTTTATTAACGTAAGCCTTCATTAAGAAATAATAATAAATTTGTGATATTTAAATTTAATGTCAAATAAGCCTATAACATTTTTCAACAAACACATTTGATTTAGTGATTTATCTTTTTACAAATAATCATAATCCCAAAACAATTTGCATATGGCATGTTTAGTATTATAGGTCTTTAGGCCTTCTAATACCAAGAAATTGGCCGTTTAAAACCATTCTACATGAAGATATTTTTATAGACAAGAGTGCTCTTCTTTCAATGACATTTCATATAGCTTTCTTTTGTTGCTGTTTTTTTTTTGTCTGTTTATTATTTGCAAATAGTATAATTTATACTTGAATCATATAGTACTATATAAAACCGTAACAAAGGGTTTTGTTAACTGGGGTTTTGGGTGTTTTTGTTTCTTGGGGTCTAATTTGGGGTGTCATCTAAATTCTTAAATTGCCTTACATTAAAATAGTCAGATGGACCGTAGCTGTATTTCCCATGCCATGAAAAGAAATGGATCAGAATTGTTTTTGTGAATATGATGGTATATTAAAATTATGGGACCCGGTTAATGGGCAATATTATCATTATTCTAAATATATCGCAATTGGTTGCCTGTTGAAGCTAGAATTGACTATAACATTCTGACAACTATCCATAAAGCCAAGTTTTCTGAATGCGTGAACTTTTTTCATTCACTACTCCTTTGTGACAAAATTTGCGATCTTCAGCAGATAAAACATTGCTTTCGGTTCCCAGATATAATAAATTGTATGGAAAATACTTTTTACCAGTAAATTGGTGCATATTTATGGAATGAGGTTCCTTGACAGATGGACACGACACTTCTATTTTCAAGTTTTAAATCAACACTAAAGACACATCTGTTTACCAAATGTTTGTGCAAGAACAAATAGTTGAACTCACTGTGAAGCGCTAAGGAATGACCCGCGGACATAATTTAGCGCTATATAAGACAATTTATTATTATCATTATTATTATTATTATTATTATTATCATCTAACAACGTAGCCATAACGAACGTTTGTTAATGTCTTGATTTAAAGTTAGGTGAGGATGGCAGCTGTCCTAAGTTAAAATTGATTTTAGTTAAAATTGTCACTAAAATAGTTTTGTGAAACACCACTATTTTAAGTTATTATTTTAAGTTATTATTTTAAGATTTTAACTCGTGTATCTTAAGTTAGGGTGAAATTTTAGTTTAAGACGATTTTAAGGAGATTTAAGTTTTTGTAAAACAGGACCCTATGTATTCCAGTTCAGTTATTAAATACCATTAATATAATTTTAATGTTTTATCATCAACGCCATTATAAAGTTAAGATTGGTATTTCAGACAATTTTAATTTGATTATGAGTAATACCACTGATACATATTCCAATAAAATCAAACATAACACTTACACTGCTTGTACTGTACATGTATATGTAAGAAACCATACTAATAATAACATAATTAATACATCGGCGTACACAGTTCTAACATAATTCCTCATATTCACAATTATATCGGTAAAGTCTCCATCGATACACAGGGCAACAGTGTTTAAGCAATGCGCAATAGAGGGCTTTTCACGCTACGGATACCTTACTATCACTTAGTGATGCGTGAAATCAACAAAAACCGGATTCCGTTTACGTATTTTTTATAAGTTAATGTAGGCTATACACTGTAACAAAAAAAAATAAATCTGTGAAAATACGTAAAAACTTCCAGAAACAAGTTTACCAGGAAAATGTTTATCCGTATATATTTGTTTTTCCTGTAATTTACAGATTTTTTTCCAATTAACATACATTCCCTTTTCAAATGCAAAAGAAAATCCAGTTAACTTTTGTTTCCAGAGTATTGAAGGGGAAAAAATGTCTATGACTTAGAGGCAATTAACTGTTCATGATATATAGGTCCATAATAAGATCAATATGTGACTATGGCTGTGTTGCTTTTGCGAGTGCAAATAAAACAGCTCTTGCTAAATTAGACAGTTTACAATACCAAGCCATAAAGATAGCAACAAAAGCCTCATTTGGTACAAAAAGGGAAAGTCTATTGCAGAAAGTTGGTGAAATATCATTCGAATTGAGGCGCAACGAACTGACATTAAGATACTGGGCCAAGTTACAGTATCTAGGGGACAGCTGTCCAACATTCTAGTGCACAGAATCATCAAGGAAGAAATTTAAAAGTAATGTGAAATCGGAGACTCATCCGTTAGGTCACAGAGCAAATGATTTATTAAAAGAACTAAGATTAGACGACTATCAAGTCACTGACAGGGTATTTTCTTATCAAGCTCCCTGGACTTTACTGAATTCAAACTACACGTATAATACAAGCCTAAATAATGTTGTTAGGAAAAAAGAAAACCCGCAACAAGCTCAAATGCTCTCGAGGGAGCGCTTGAACGAAAAATGGCCATCGCATGTGAAAATATACACGGACGAATCTCACGACCCTAAATATAAACAAAACTGCGTTAGGTGTCAGCATT